ATATATATATATATATATATATATATATATATATATATATATATATATATATATATATATATATATATATATATATATTTCTAAAGTATGTTTTTCGTAAGAACTCTCCAATATTAAACTGTTGTAATGTCATTTTCCATTGCCATATATTCGCAAATAAGGCCTCTCCATTTTTTTTTTCTTTTTTCTGATCATACTTTAAAGGCCATCTATAGTCTTTTCATTTTACAACTTTTAAAGTTGACATGGCTTGGTCGGTTTGGAGCAAGTAAAGCGTTCAAAAATTCTAATTCGTAGAGATCACATATTTAAGTTTGGTCGGTATGTTCACGTTCCCCCGTCATTCTCCGACCAACTACGTCCACGTCTCTCTGTCTTTCTACCCAATACACATAATCATTTTCAGGATTTCCTACATTCAATTTCTTACGTAGTTAGGCCCTACACCCACAACGTGACAATTTATCATGAAGGCCACTGATATATTATTGGAAGAAAATATAATAACTATATGTTTTTTTAAACACAATATAATAACTATATGTATGTGTGTGAAGATACAAGGAGAGCATATAAACAGTGAATACATTATTATTTTTGAACATTTAATATAATATAACCACTTGTTATAAATGTTGTTTGAGTTTGGGTGTAAAAATTCCAAAACCTAGCAGACTTTTTTTTTCCAACACCTTCAATATTGCAAGCCGCTCTTCATTGTTTTTATAAAACATGTATAAGAAACCTCTTATAGATTCGTTATATTACAATTATATTAATTTAACCACACATAGATGATTTAGTGGTAGGCAATTAAATTTTGGGAAGTTAAGCGATATGGATTCAAAACAATCCAACGACAAACTAAACATGTGTGATCACGTGGATATTTAATCATGTTTTGGGTCTTATTTGAATATATTTAAAATTAAGGCTGGGCAAAATATCCAGATCCGAAGAACTGAACCGAACCCGATCCAAAAAAGTAGTAGCAAATTCGAACCAAAATTGATTCAATATCCGAATGGGTCCAAAATTTTAGTATTTAAAGAACCGAAACCGAACGCGACCCGAACCGAAATGTTTCGGGTATCCGAATATATCCGAAAGAGATTTATATGCCTATATATTTTAATTATTTTAGATTTAATGTATATAAAAAACATTCAATATATATAAAATACTTTGAAGTTTTTCAAAATACTTGTAAATATATGTAAATAGTCAAACATACATGTCTAAAATTTCTAAAGTACACTCAAAACATAAAAAATACTTGAAAATTATTGATTCACAATCCAAATATTCAAATCAAACTAATTTATATGTTAATTTTAGGTATTTTGACTTATATTATTCAATTTGTAATATATTATTTTGTTTATCCGAACCCGCAAAGATCCGAACCGAACCCGAATCGAAATTTAGAAATATCCAAATGGGACTAAAATTTATGAACCAAAAAACTCGAAATCCGAAAAGATCCGAACCAGACTCGAATGGGTACCCGGATGTCCATCCCTACTTAAAATATCCATTTGTAGGATGCATCCTCCATTAAAATTAGTTTAATTAAATCTTTCTATAGACTCGAGAATCGGACTCAAATGGATACCCGAATGTCCATCCCTACTTAAAATATCCATTTATAAGATGCATCCTCCATTAAAATAGTTTAATTAAATCTTTCTATAGACTCGAGAATCTCCTAAATCTTTTATTATCGACTGGAAGTATATATTAATTTATATAGCTAAAAACCTATAAATAGTCATTTATAAGGCTGGATTTTTTTATTATTTACCAAGTTCATAAGCTTATAGAAATTTTACTACATTAAAAATGTTGAATGTTTAATTACTGATCACTATTAATTTCTTATAAAATAGTCATAGAAATTATTACTATGATTATGTAGTTTCGATTAAACATGCAGACCCGGCCCTATTACAGAAATATGTTTGAATCCTCCCCAACTTTGTCGACCAAAAAAAAAGAATTATCTCCAACTAGTCTTTGTTTTTTTTGTTAGGATTTCTCCAACTAGTCTTATAGCGCACGATATACATGTCTCTTTAACGAATTAAGCCAATGCAATTTTCTAACAATCTGTGGTCCCAAAATATTTATTGTGTGTTAAGCCTGAATTCAAGCCGGCTCTGTCAGCCCACTATAGTATTTCTATCAAAATAACGTTTTTTTTTTTGAGAAAAGTCTATCCAAATAACGCTATACCGCTATATTATCTTGTTAATTACTGTAATAGCCATATTTTCCACCGTTCATATTGCTTTAACTTATATAGTTATAACTTATAAATAATTGATTAAGTTTAAAAATAGTCACCGATGAAAACTACAAAATTATTCAAATTCACAATAGAGCAACATTTACACTGATAACCGTTATATTCCAGCTACGATTCATTGTCATTTATAAAGCTAATTGTTTTAAAAAGGTTAAAAATTTGACAATTCTAGTATCAAATATAAAAATTTACCAGATAAACCATATTCTAGTTTTCTTACAATTTTTGTTATAGTTATAGCTGAAATTTACTTTATCACAAAGGTTAAAAGCTAAAACAGAAAAAATGCAGTGATATCTAGATAAAATGACAGAGTATATACTTACTAGTTAGTGGTGATTCATGATCATGATGAACTATAACCCCCATGGTTGGTTCATTAATCAAGAGTCTACATTCTAGGTTAAAAGTTGCAGTGGATATTTGGCATAAGAGATAAATTCTTTCATAGTACTAATAAGGAATTGGGCTTACATTACTTGAAACCTTTGAGAGCCCATTTATTTCATCGTAGTTATGATGATTCTCCGAAGTTTTGCTGACAGTTTTGTCAAACGAGACCTCCTGACCCGGCTCAAAAAGGCCATGGTGCAGGAACTATATTAAGTTGCTTGTTCCTTAACGAGCCTGTTTAAGAAAAGAATACCACCCAAAAATAAAATCATGTGCTGAATTTCGTCTATATGCAACTTTGTGCACTGTAATATAGCTAAATGTACGAAATTGGCGATACAATTTTGGTAAACCTCTAATTTAAATAATTGTTTAATTT